AGAAAGCATGCTTGGCCAGTTGGTCGTCACCGACAAATCGGCCATGTTCAGTGATATTGGAGAACAGGTCGCCTTCAGGGCAGAATTCCATCACCACGTATGTGCAGTCCGGGCTCTCCAGAATGCGAAGCAGCGAGACAACATTGGGATGTTGGCTGGCTTGGTGGTGAAGGGCAATCTCGCGGTGTTGGAAGCGTCGTTGTCTGGGATCCAATCCAATCTTGGGTAGAGCCTTCACAGCATAGGGGATGTTTGTGTGTCTGTCGATGGCCTGGTAGACCACTCCATAAGCGCCAATCCCTAGGATGGAGACCAGTTCGAGTCGGCCAGCAAGAACGCACCCCAATCGGTCCTCTGGTGAAAGGCAAGTCGCGAGTTGAGGGGACGATGGTGGCGTCAATAGCATTCTTGGGAGAGCCCAAAAGTACGGAGTACTTGGTCTAGGAAAAGGGAGGAGAGTCGAGCAAGACCAAAAAGAACAGTTCAAAACATGGGTCCAGAAGAGGTCCAGAGACGTGTTTTGAGGAAATGTAACAGAAATGTGGCCAGTCCCTGGATATGGAATGTAGGTCCAATGGATTATGTGGTGATCGGCTTGGAAGTCGAGCAGGTAAAGGAGAGACCAGAAGGTATGGGGATACAAAGTGATACAGAGCAGAGAGTAGATGGTGAGATATAGGAGAGATGTTGAGAGGTTCCAGGTGGGATGTTGGATGGTTTTGTGGTGGTGGTGGTGTTGATGCGAGTAGATGTATTGAGGTATAGAGGCAATATCATGTCCTTTTAGGTATGACGGACGTTGTACTCGAAAAGAGCCATTGCGAGCATGGCGAACATGGCAAGCGTCGACGCACGGACCGCCCACACTCATGCCACCCATGCTTGTGGGGCAAAAAAGCCGTCAGAACCTGGTCAGAGGGTGCTGCGAATAGTACGCCAGGAAGGGGTAGGGCCCACATCGATGCGTCAAAGTTCGCAAACCCTGGGCTGTAGTCTGACGCTGGGGACGCTGGATGACGAGCTCTCCATGAGCGGTTTTGGTTTAGGCCAGCCAGAGGAAGCAAGACGAGGCGGGCACCGTCTGGCAGGAGACACGGGCACAAGTGGGTTGCATAGTCTTGGGTCGGTGGAAAAGTGGGCGATGAGCGGATCACCAAGTGGCTGGGCGCATTTCTTGTCACCACCGACAACAGATCAGCGTTCCTTGCGAGACCGAGCGCCAGCGCTAGCAGGTCGACCAGTAGCTGCTCTCCTTGACGAGCACTATCCAGCACCCCAATCAACCAAATCTGCATTCTTGGGGTGCTTGCAGGGTTGGGTTCCCACACCACGGAGGAAGGCGAAATTCGACATGGCCATGCCCGGAAGCACACTTGTTTTGGGCTGTTGACTGGCAAAGTACGAGGGCACTGTGTTCGGGTTGCCATACCCAAATTCGCCGCCCGCCTTCTTCCGGGTGTTGGCTGTAAAATTAACACCAATGGCTTTCTGTGAGAGATTTCAGGTGTGACGCCACGACCAGGTAGACGCAGACTCCCATCCAGCCTGCCGTGTTCTGCTTCATCGAGGCAAGCCTGGTCAAACCGTCTCTGTAAAGTGTGGAATGGTTGACACCATTGGAGGGGGCCTTTGGTGGATAGCGATTGGGTGCTCCCGGCGCCAGCACAGACGGCATCGGACATGAGACGAGCAACCATGAAAAAATTTGATCGTCCATCGGCAGGTCGGGGAGTGGCCTGGTCGGTGAGAGACGCTTGGATCGTGTGTTGCTTTTTTGCGCCTCGCGCCTGGAAGAGTTGGAAGGGGGCTAGTGCTGGCCTGGGCAGACATCCATCGCCATTCGCTCGTGTTTCAACCAAGGAAGGGGTCCCTGGATGCCAGATGGGCTCAGTAGCCCAGACTCTGAAAATGGCAGGGCAAAAAGGAACTGCGGCCTGGTCGGTCTGTAAAGTACGCAGGTTGCAATGCTGGACATGGACACTGGCCCTGCCTCCCCAGCACTAACCGCACCCTGACGGTCCGAACTTGCTCAACTGCATCCCTTGCTCCCAATCACTTTGAACGTCCAATCACCCACGGCCTACCAGAGTCCACCCCAGCGCGAAGGGGGTGTGCTGGAAGAGCGGCAGAAGCATCATGCAGTGCTCTTCCCTCATTCCTGCCCAATTGCCCCCATGAGCGTTCTGAGATTTGCAACTCATCCGGGCGGCGGACACTCTGTCGCCTACTCCGGACACAAGGCTCCCTTCACGATGGAGATTACTATCTCTGGCGAGGGCTGCATTCTGGTCAGCGCTACGTAGTCTGCGTTGACCACATAACTTTCGAGCCCACTTGTTTCTATGTAGGTATTCACCCTTGAGGGCGTTTTGCTGCACACTCATTCCACAGATAGGGGGGCCCCTACCTGCTAAACAATGGCGGGAGTCTGTTTTCAGCCACCAACTCTCGCAAATTGAAAGAGAGTTGCAGCGTGGTGAGACTGTCGAGATCGAGAGCACGGGACGCCCAAACACACACAGAGGGCTCTAGCAGAGTCCAGGCTCCCAGTAGTGTAGTGGCCCCCTTCGCACCAGAACCCAATTTGCCTCTGCGCCTTGGGTCACGCTGCAGTGCCAGCCTCGGCGGAATTGTCGGCAGCCGACTTCTCTGTGGCTTGTAACTTATTGTTATCTGACACCTTTTGATTCGCCACGATGTGCTAGTGGTAAGGCAGGTCCAATTGTCTCCCTACACCATTCGAAAATGGCAAAGGGGATTATGATCCGCAACACAATTTACAGATGGGTGACTGTGAATGGTGGGTGGAGCTCCGCTCTCAACGGGTCCATGTGACCTCTTCCAAAGAATGAATGAACATGGCAGATCAGGAGTACTTTGTAGAAGACAATAACCAATAGCGCCAGTAGAGGATAAACCAGTTGTCCCCACTTTGAGCCTTACCGAAATTGTTCGAGTGCGTAGGGTGTGGAACGCTTGAGCGAGAGGGTCGTTTCGCGTGTCTCAGGATCGCCATTGATAACCGTCTTTTCTAAAGGGCTTGTTTGCATGGGTGTTGGGCAGTCAAACTTCGACCAGCCCACAGGCGAGGGGTCCTAGCTTTTGCACTTGAGGCATTGATTGACCAGGATGCCATTTGGAGCGAACGCTGACTGGTGGTGATACGAGCTTCGCATCGAGCGTGTCAAACAACTCTTAGTGCCTGGTGACACAAGATTACGTAGGAGGAATACATAGGGACGTCGGCAAGCGCCCTTTTCTGGTGAGGCAGCAGTGCCCCCCTTTGGTTCGCTGCGGGTGAGTTTCGAGCTGACTGGTTTGACAGATTTCGAGCCACGTTGCCTGACGAGTCAACGTTGAGGGTGGCAAGGACGCTAGGAACACAACAGTGACAAGCCTGAGTGACATACTCTGACTTGTCCACGAAGAAGGATGCGTCTGTTGGTTGCGTGCAAAATAGGTGATCACGAGGTTGCTAGACCCCATTCGGATGTGGCGATGGGTTGGACTCTGGTGCCACTGGCACCCAACTTGTCTTGTGGGAAATTTCTGCTTGATCAGATTTACGTGATTCGGAGATGACAACTCGATAGAGGCGCGATGAAGAGTGCGATGCGAGGTGGCAAAGACCGAGCGGCAAATCGCAGCCTCCATGCTCCACCGTATATTTCCCTCATTGTCTTAATGCTCCACCGTTTTCCTCACATGTCACGTTACCGCAATTGCCAAGACCGCATCCAATGCCCGGCGACTCCCGATTGCGTCTATCGAAATGTTTGCCTTCCGAATCTGATCGCGGTACTTTCCCATGATCGAGGACTATTCCGTTACCGTGCAACTTTAGGCGGTTTGCTCTATAAACCAACTTGAGGATATTCACTGTTGCGTGATCCAGCATGATGATCATCTTCGTCGCCCCCTCCAGTCTATCTGCCGGGGATGGATCGAGATGTCCAGAAAGGTGCTCAGCATCGTCTGAACAAAGAGAGATTTACCGGCATACTCGTCGATCATCATGGCCCTGAACAGAGTTGAAGTCAGTCTCAGCTCCAATGGTCTGCTACTGACTTGGAGTGCTGTCCTGATTTTGCCACACCTTGTTAAATGCCCGAGTCGAGACCTGAAGAGGCCCTCAGTCCCCCCTGTCCTCTCGCGAAAGGGTCCTGCATTGGCTTCTCAACAGAATTTTCGAGTTTGCCTTTCCCCCGCTGACAGCATTCGGCATGCGAAAGTGTCTGGAGACGGAAGGGATTCAGGTAGATCGCGTCTGGTGACGTCTCACCTTACTGGCCCCTGGACAGCCCGAGTGTCAACATTTAGCTTCATAGGGCTTGCGGCAATGTTTCTTCAGGTCCGGGTTCGGATGCGCCCGTTCAGGATCGACGGTCCCGACCACCACTACAACAATAGAGGCCGGATAAAGGATCATTTTTGCAAGCAATAGTTGCCACTCAATTGGGGAAGTCCACACAACAAAGCCTTCGAAGTGCCATACTCCACAAAACACCGCGGAAAACGCTGTGACTATTGTTCGGGTGTGTTGGTGATATATCGATTCCATTTGGAGGTCCCACCACTCCATCATTTTCCGTCAGTTACGGCACTCCTTTGGTCGACGCCCTACCCGTATGGTCTGGTACGGATAGCCCAAAATCCTTCCGCACCGAGGGCGGGAGTGGAAAGACAATGTCTCGCGACCGATTGACCAGGCAGCCAGGGGCGGGTTCCGTCTGGGAGTCAACCAGCGGGGGGTTAAACAAAATTCCGCTGTCCTTCGTCCACAACGCCAGCATCCCATGCCGCTCACCAATGCCGACCATGCCTTTCCTTTCTGTCGAAGTGGTGGCACTGTAGCTCGAGACTCACTTAGCCATCTATCTGCGCCATTTCTAACAATGCAAGTGAAGTCGTGGAATACTCGACCAGAAAACGTTGGACTAGATTATCATTTTAATGTACTTGTAGATCGACTACTGTTCTAAATGACATACTTTGTGCGATCAGGGTGGCAGCGCAAACGGAGCATGTGAGGTGATATTGACCGTCACATTCTGAACCGTGCATCCTGGCTGCATCGTGAGCGTCCCGTTCAATACTGCTTCCAACCAGTCGAAAGCCCGTCCATCTCCATTTGTCTCTTCGTCGAGGTGATTACCTGCCCTATTTCTCTGGTATAAGATATTGGCCCCTGCGCCGCAGTATCTATTGACAAGAGTGTCGGTATCACTGATCAGGCTGTATTCGTCCTGAATTGCCTTGTAGATAAACATTGGCATTTGCGGGACACCATGATAGCCCATCAGTCCGTCGACGTTGAATACCCTCTGGACGACCGGCTGCTGGAGGAAAGCCGTGCCATTGACAAAATAGTCGGCGAGGATGCTCTGGTTCATGAAGGCGACTGCCGCCTCCAGATACGACATGTTTTGAACGGCCAAGAACCCTGTTGCATTGTGAGGGCCAGAGAGTCTCAGGTTGCTGGTCAAGGCCTGGAACGCTGCAGGATACTGTTTCACCACGCCGAGGAGAAACGAAGGGATCAATCCTGCCGCCGGCGTCCCGTCAATGGTGTGTAGAATGCTCGTGCCGTTCGGGACCAGGCCACCCAGTGCAACGCCGCTGAAGTTGAGTTCCGGGGCATATTGGACTTGAAGTTCTGCTGCCCATTCGCTCGCGATCGATCCTCCTGAGTATCCCCACATGGCATATCGTGCATTGGGAGAAAGACCAAATCCTGAAGACAGCACAGCTCGAACTGAATCAAGCGTGGCGTGTCCTTCCGCGACTCCTGACCCAAACGATGCCAAGGGACCTTCAAAATCGGGTACACTGACGAACCAGCCATGGCTGAGTGCAGAGTTGATGTCCGAAAGGACTAGGCCTGTTGCCAGCTCGGATCCAAGCACATAGCTGGGACTGTGGTTCACGTCCGCGGTGTTGTAAGGAATTTGGTAAGATAGGAGGGCGTCACCTTCGGAGTTGTTGGTGAAATTTGAAGGTACGAATAAAGTTGTCACTGCCCACGATGGCTGATATTGTGCATCGGTGGTGCGAAAGAGGATATTGTACGCTGATGAACTGAGATTGTAGATCGATGTTAGATTTCCTGTTGCCTCGCGCATCCGCAAGATTGTTCCTGGTGCGGCGGATTCATAGTTGGTAGGAGCAGTGTAGAATGTATCCTCAGAAGACAATGAAAGGGATGTGGCTGGGAGTGCAGCAAAACAAAACAACAGACCACAAACAGACATATCAAGTAAGGAACGCATGATTTCAACTTCTACCAAGGCAAGTTTTCATGCTTGGGTCATTCTATATCTCAGAGCAGGCCAGAACCCTTATATAGGGCTCAATGGACGGAGTGGTCTCTGGCACGTCCATCGTGCAACAGAGTTGGACACGGCGATATTGGAAGGTTGAGAAACGACTTTCACCTTCGGCTTCGCAGTGAGAAGCGGGCACGGAGATACAGACATCCCGGACCTGCTGCTCGAACTGCTGAATAGGTGAATGGGTTGTTCAAGTTGCACCGTTGTAAAACCAGGCCGACCGTTGACGCTGAGAAGTGCTGTACCTGGTTAGAAATAGAAATAGACGCTAACCTTGGTTCGTATGGAAGCTCTCACCTTGACCAACTTTCGTATTTTCCATCAGGCACAATTGCAACTTTTGTCCATCAATGTTTCCGCATCATTAACAACTGGCAGGAGTGCGATGTCCACGACATGTGGCAAATGTATCTAGAAGATCTAAACCTCGGGTTCACCAAGGTGGTAAAGTCAAACATGTGAAGCGTACATAGTAGATCGTGCATATATGTCGGTAAGCATTGAATACCATTATACTCAGCGGCGAATCTTGACCTCTCCAAAATCCATTTAGGCTTTCAGACCTGAGCATCACGACACTTGACCAGAGTTATGATGAAGCCATCCTGAGCTTGTGGCTGTGCAAACCCGAGTGCGGCTTAGCTTGACCGGAATGAATTAAATATCTTCCATGGAGGAAAGCTCAACAAATTACGTTCACGCGCCTCATTTCGCCAATAAAGTGCCGCCGAGCCTGCTGTATCATGGTCGCTTGCTGTCGGTGAAATCGGCCGCAGAGGATGAAAGTAATCTGGTGCTTCTCATCCGACATCAATGTGCGGCTGAGAGCTTCCGGCATCTGCTTTGGTCCCGGAGAGAGTCGATCGCAGACTTGGTCAGAAGCCATCTTCACCTGCGAAAGATGATGGCTGCACGGTTCTCCATCTGACTCCTGGTCCCAAGGCAGTTTCAATATTTGTGTCTTTATCGACATCACAGTTGCTGGGAGCCTGACAAGACTTGTTTTCCGTTGTCCCATGCCCCACAAGCTAGCTGAAATCCAGTATTACGATGATATTCGAGCACAGCGGTACTCCGCGAACGATCCAGCCTTTCCGGGTATATCACAATACGGACAATTTTGTTTCGGATATGCTTACGCTGCAGGACAACCACTTATTTCATGATTCTCATGCGGTTCGGGATGAGGACGACGCCCGCGAACGGATGGCTATCAGGAGACTACTTCGAGCTGTGTCGCATCATTTTATAAGTGGTAGTCGACGAAGTGGTCCATTCTTCCTCCAACTAACCGACTTCCATCAAGCAATATCTTCGTGGACGACAACTGGAATATCACTTGCTTGATCGATCTCGAGTGGATCTGCGCTCTCCCAGCGGAAATGCTGTCAGTACCGTACTGGCCACGCTGGCATCCGAACTGCAGTGCTGATGATGTCATCGACGAACGTTACGACAAATTTAACGAGGCGTGACGGCTTTTCTTAGGGATCATGGATGAGGAAGCTGTTTTGGGCCTGCATAAGATCTCTTAATGCCTTGGCCTTCATATTTGAGGATCACCTTCTTCCAAAATTCTCCGCTGGCAAAAAATTGGTAGCCGACTTAAAGCAGATATCGACCCTATGGCAAGAGGAGGTCGACCAAATTCTGAAAACTACAGTTGTAGAAGAAGAGAGGTATCAAGAAGAGCCTCAGCGCCTTCTCGAAGATGAAGGGCTAAACACGTTAAAAGACGGATAGAGTTATTCTTCGTGTTGATGCACGACGGAACGGAATAATGATCCAGCGTCTCAGCCGATGACAGAGTGGTAAGTGGACGTGCGCAATATTTAAGCTAGTCCTAATTCGAGCTTGATCTCATCCTTCGACAACGACACCAACGGTACCTCGAACGAAGCTCTCTTGGATTTATCAACACTTAGCGTGCATTGGAGAGGCTAATCTGATCCTCCATCATCTCATGAACTTGAGGCAGCGCATCCTTCACGTTTGCACATCTGCTATTGTCGTGTCGGCAACATTCCAATACGTCAGGTTCGTTACCGTCGCACTGGGCCATCACAGGTGCGATCAAACACACCGGCACTTGTACAGAGAAAAGTTTTTACCTGGAGCAAGGCAATTATTTTTGCTTGACTATTACTGCATGATAAAGGCAAATATTTACCATCATTTTCAATCCCAAACTCGGGCAACGGGCGTTCTCCCTTGAGCTTCTCGCATCATGACCCGTCGCAAGCCCATACCTTCGGGAGGTTCAACCTCTCATCTATCACAAGGTAGTGGCCATGAAATCAACCGCACTTTAATTTGGGCAAGCGAAGAACGCCCAGAAGCCCCATCTCATCCCACAGCAAGCCATGCTTCTATCCCATCGTCACTTTCAGCCAACGTCTCCGACCTCTCGTCTGGGTCCACGCACCTAATCAGCACCTCATTCCTGATCCCCGGACGTGGCAGGCCCCAGCACAATATGTCTGTGATTGTACAAGACGGGACGATAACCTCGATCCAACCCACAGCATCGGTGCCACCACCCTTCAAAAACCTTCCGACCACGTTCGTCCCGGTCCTAATGCCCGGTCTGTGGGATTGTCACATCCACCTCCTGGGCAGCAAGACATTCAACTTCTCCGAGATTGCCACCCAGTCCACGGCTCTTGCTGGCGCCAGAATTGCCCGGAATGTACACGACATTTTAATGAGCGGGTTCACCTCCGTGCGCGAACTTGCTGGCTATGGGCTTGAAGTCTCCAAGGCGATCGAAGAAGGCACCCTCGTTGGCCCAAATATATACTCTTCAGGCGCCGCGATATCCCAGACCGCAGGACACGGAGACGTTTTTGACCTACCCTGGGGATTCGTCGGCTCTCTTTTTGGAGTGAGGGATACTCAAGCGAACGGATTGTCCCCAGGTACAGGACCGATGATCATCGCCGACGGCATCGACGAATGTCGGCGCGCCGTTCGGCTGCTGGTTCGACGAGGCGCCAAATGCATCAAGGTTTTCGCTAGTGGAGGCGTGCTGAGCATTGCCGACGACCCTATGCGCCAACAGTTCTCACTCGACGAGTTGAAAGTTATTGTGGAAGAGGCCCGGCGTGCAGGGCGCGTCGTGGGCGCGCACTGCCACGGCAAGGACGGAATTATGGCCGCATTGCACGCGGGCGTCCACAGCATCGAGCACGGGACGTACATGGACGAGGAGTGCATCGAGCTCATGAAGGAGCAAGGGACCGTGTACGTGCCGACGCGGACGATCGTCAAAGTCGGCGTCGACCATCCGGAGCTCATGTCGCCGGAATCGTACCGGAAGATGCTGGAGACGGCGAAGTACCACCGTACCGCGTACCGTCTTGCTGTGCAGTCCGGCGTCAAGATCGCCTTGGGCACCGACCTGGGCATCAGCACGCCCGCAACGCACCCACTGGCGCACGGCCGAAGCGGCGGCGAACTCTCCTACGCGGTCAGCGACGGCGGCATGGAGCCCTTGGCGGCCATTGAAGCCGCAACGGCCATGGGGCCCGAAGTGCTCGGATCCCTAGGCATGGCGCCTAAGAGCGGCAGGATTGAAGTCGGGTACGACGCCGACCTGATTGCCTTGAACGTGAATCCTCTGGAGAACATGGACGTGTTCAAAGAGCCAAAGAACATCACGCACGTGTGGAAGGGCGGGCGGCTGTTTAAGAGTCCCTCGCACGTCTGAATCCCAAGAGAGAGAAGGGAAAAAAAGTGACAATGGTAGCTCCACGCTCCGTCATGAGATTCCTTGCAAAAAAAAAAAAAAAAAGTTCCGACCTTCCAGTCACGCAAAATATCGCCCATACTATCTATCCATTTTTCCTTCCCCCGTTTCCTCCACCATTTCTTTCCTTTAGTATTGAGAGTGAATGGTCACTCCAGAACCAGTTCCGGCGTTTGGGGACTCAATCTTTCATAGATATCTCTTCATCTTGCGTCACTGATCAAATGAATGTCAGCTAGCAGCGCGCAGACACTAACGAGCAGGCAATGCGGGCGCTGGGAATTAGAAAAGTGCTCGGTACGGTGCTTACAGCGATTGTGAGCACGCATGCTCAGTCAAAGGCTTTACCCTGTCTTCATGGTAGGCACATTCACCGTGGCGAGACGCCATGATGGGAACAAGATAATGGAGGCAAAATAGGAGAGCATGGTCTTGAAACCTCACTTCTTGCGCGGTCTCTTCTATCGACGCCTTCGATGCAGATTCAATCTAGATCTAGGTGGGAGTCTTTCTCTAACTATGTGCGAAGAGCAGTCTTCACTATTGAGGCATTCCGAAACGGGGGCACAGACTTTGCACGAACGTGTGACTCGAGGGGGCCGAAAGTGACCATCGTCTCTTTGAGATTGTGTCTTCCACGCCTGACTACGCCGTTTGGAGTGCCTCTTTCCAAAGACCGATGCGAGCACAGAGAAAATGGCAGGTCGAGGCTGTGACCATGTCTTCATGTCCTTGTTGACTGGCGCAGCAGATGCTCATCCTGACTTTTCTCCGACTGCAGGGCCGTCATTGTTGGGGGATGTCTGTGGAGTGCTTGCTGATATTCCCCGGGCTCGACTGATTTCTTGACACCGTCTTCACCGCGGTAGTTGGTCGCCGCGACAGTCATCGTCGTCCCCCTTCTGTCCCTTCCAGAAGAACCACCCGATGAAGATGCCGAGTTTCAAGCCAGCTGCAAGCCACAGTGCTCCGCCCATTCCGGCCGATGACTTGTACATCTCACCACCAATGATTCCGCCGAGGAAAAGTGCCACGATGCACGCCGCTCGTCTCTCCTGCTTTCTCTCGCTGCTCACCACAAACTCCCACAGACTGGAGCTCTTCCTCCAGGAATCCCGGATGTTGTACAGGTCCGCGCAAACGTCGTGGTACAAGGCACTCAGAACGATTGTCG